AGACTGTTTTGAACATTGGAATATGAGTATTTGTGTGCACATGTTGTCATTTCTTTGGGGAAAATGCCTAAGATTAGGATTTTCTGAGCTGTAGGATAAACGTATGTTTAACTTTGTGCGAAACCATCAAACGATCTTCTGGGTATTTGTACCGTTTCACAGCCCCACCAGAATTTCTCAGGAGCAGAAACAGTTGTGTTCCTGAGAGTTCTAGTTGCTCCATGTTTTTTACCCAAACTTGTTCCTTTTTTAAATTTTAGCCCGTCTAATAATTATATCATAGAATGTCATTGGAATTTAAAAAAATCTCCTTCATGACTGAAGATAATGAATGCTGTGTTTTTTGGTAATCATGTCATTTTTTGGTAAAGTGTCTACTCACTTTACCAAAAAGTTGTTTGCCTACTTAAAAAGTCAAATTGTTCATTTTCTTGTTATTGAGTTGCATGTGTGCGTGTATATGTTTTGTAGATACGTCCTTTACCGGTTATAACTTTGCAAGCATTTTCCACATCTGCGGCTTGCCTCTTTATCTTCATCATGTCAGCTATTGGAAAACCGAAGTGTGAAGTTTTGAGGAAGCCTGATTTGTCTTCTTTTTTAAGCCTACCATCATTTTTGTGTGTTTTCTAGATTTCCTGTGATGCTCTCCTAAAATCACTTCAAAATGGAAGTTAGAGATTGTCATTTATGCAGAATTTTACAAAAATAATGTAAATGGCTAGGTAGTTAGCTGTTTCTACACCCTCAGCTAACCGAATCAAGGGATATCTAGGAACAGATTTTATACACTGTACTTCAGGACAAAGCCATTTAATTTGTATGTTATATTTAATAGAAAGTCACCAGACCAGATAGTGACGGAACCTTGAAAACTCGAACATGGTGTTACATATCACCTCCTAACAAGGTGTTTTATTTTATTTTTTTTATTGTTTGCTTATTTATTTATTTTCAGATAGAGCTGGGAGGGGCAAAGAGAGAGGGAGACAGAGAATCCCAAACAGGATCCGCACTGTCGGCACAGACCCCAACTCAGGGCTCGATCCCATGAACTGTGAGATCATGACCTGTGCCGAAAGCAAGAATAGGGTGCTTATCCAACTGAGCCACCCAGGTGCCCCCTAATAAGGTGTTTTAGATTACTGTTATTATTTTAAATCTCTGGGCTTTGTCTTTTGGCATTCACATTATTCTTTTAATATTTTTAACAAATAAAGGAATATCTTTTGTCACATATTATTTTTTGAAAATCTCGAGGAGATCAGACTTTCCCCCTTTCTCCCCAGATACTTAATTTAGACAGAACATAGTCACAGTTTCTGAATCCGTTTTTGTCCACTACTCAATTGATTTCAGTTTATTTCATTATCCATTTTCAAACTATGTCAAGAAATTGTGTGTTATCCAAAAACATCACTTCAGATTATGTCTTAGTAAAATACTTCACTATCCTCTGTAATTAACTAAAATTATCTACAACGAGTTATATGGCCTAATTTTAGAGGATCCCCAATCTCTTTTTCTTTTTCCCCACCATAGCCTTATCCTGGCCATGTACTTGTGATATCGTTTTATTACACATTTCAATTACTAAACAATTAGGTTTCCAAATAGATATCCCACAGAACTACCATTTGTTCAATAAAAATGTTACGCTAGATTCTAGCTTCTGATAAGTCAGCTGTGAGCTGAAATTCTGTTTCTAAGGCATTTCCTTGTATACTGGAAGAACATCAGAAAAGAGATAATTGTATTTAGTCTATAATAACTATCTTTGAACATTTTCTATATAATTAACAACCATTGAAAAAGAAAGTCCAAATGTACAACTAAGAGACAAGAAAAGCAGTTTCTAAATGTGTGACCCAGGGCATCTGGGTGGCTCAGTCGGTTAGGCATCTGACTTCAGCTCAGGTCATGATCTCAGGGCTCATGGGTTCAGCCCACCTCGGGCTCTGTGCTGACAGCTCAGAGCCTGGAGCCTACTTCCAATTCTGTGTCTCCCCCGCTCTCTGCCCCTCCCCCACTCATATTCTGTCTCTGTCTCTCTCTTTATCAAAAATAAATCAGTACTAAAAAAATTAAATGTGTGATGCATAATATAGGATATAAATCTATGCGACTCTAAACCGTTGCTGACCACATCCTTCTAGCCGTTAAACACCACCACCAATTTTGATTTACATGTATTCCTTCTCCAAGTATTCAGAGAATGCAATAAACATTATCTTCTTAATTTTCAAATTTTTCATGAATATATTAGGATATTACCATTCTTTCCACAAGTCAGAAAACAGGGAGCTGCCGTGATCTTTGCACATTTTCAGTAAGAGAGCCAAAGTAAGAACAATTCTGGGTAATCTCATCTGGGATCTTAATTAGTACTACAAGTTTAATGTTGTGAGTTAAAAATAGTATCACTCATGAGAAACAATGCCAAAGCTATTATGCTGATGCAGTGCATCAAGGCCTCATGAGGAAATACCTCAGCCACCGTGAGCTTACACACTAGCTGAGGCATGAAGAGCATTCATTGGGGCTCTTTGGGGGGTGTGTCAACTATGAGATCAGGAAGGAGCCATGTGGAAATCTGGGCACCATGCAAGCACCCTAGAGGCTGATCCCCCCCACCCCCGCTCTGCTCCCCTCATCGGCCACAGCAGCATGGGCGCTGGTGGGCGGCTGTCCGTGCTGTGATGCACTGGAGGGGCTGACAGTCACCTCTTCGTCTCCACCTGGAGCAATCCCTCCCGTTCCCGTGCTGTGCTGAGCAGAAGATTCAAGTCCAAGGAATTCCATTTCCTGGTGTGGTTTGCTGTGTGCGCCAAGTGCGTGACACTATGGTGTGGAAAGCCCATCTGGGGACACCGGGCTGCCCGGCCTGCAAAAGTGGGTGAATCATCCATGCTCATGGCTGCTGACAATGTGCGAGGCTGACAAGGTTCTGCTGAGAGCCCGACCTGGGCTGTAGGCTGTGAAGAGAAGAGGGCAAAAGGGAAGGCTGGTGTTGGACTGACCTCTCCTTGTCAGTGAGGCGACACTAGAGGCTTTTTGAGTGACACCACAGGGATCAAAACCCACGTCATCCTCTGGTTGTTTAGAAGAACCAACACCTCCTCATCAGGGAAATACAAATCAAAACCACACTGAGATACCACCTCACGCCAGTCAGAGTGGCTAAAATGAGCAAATCAGAGAACTCTAGATGCTGGCGAGGATGTGGAGAAACGGGCACCCTCCTGCACTGTTGGTGGGAATGTAAACTGGTACAGCCCCTCTGGAAAACAGTGTGGAGGTTCCTCAGGAAACTAACAATAGAACTCCCTTATGACCCAGCAATAGCACTGCTAGGAATTTACCCAAGGGATACAGAAATGCTGAGGCATAGGAGCACATGTACCCCAATGTTCATAGCAGCACTCTCCACAATAGCTAAAACATGGAAAGAGCCTAAGTGTCCATCAACAGATGAATGGATCAAGAAGATGTGGTTTATCTATACCATGGAATACTACATGGCAATGAGAAACAATGAAATCTGGCCATGTGTAGCAACATGGATGGACCTTGAGGGGGTTATGCTGAGCGAAATAAGTCAGGCAGAGAAGGACAAATATCATATGGTTGCACGTATAGGAGGATTAGGAGGAACTTGACGGAGGAACAAGGGGGAGAAGAAGGGCGGAAATGGTGGGGGAAAGGGAGAGAGGCAAACCATGAGAGACTCTTGAATGCTGACAAAAACTGAGGACTGATGGGTGTGGGGGGGAGGGGGGGATGGGCATGGAGGAGGGCACTTTGGGGATGAGCACTGAGTGTTATGTAGAAACTAATTTGACAATAAACTATTTGTAAAAAAAAAAAAAAAAAAAGAAGAACCAACACCGAAGGCTCTCTGCCAGTAGGGGGATTGCTTCTGTGGCCAGTCTGCAGAGTGGTGGGGAGCTGGGGAAAGGAGGGGCCTGCCTGGGAGGGGCGGGGACAGCAGAAGTCATCACAATGACAACTGTGACCCAACCCAGGCACCCAGAGAAGGGACCATGCCCTGCATGAGCTGGTGGGGATGCCCACACCAGATTTAGACCAAACCAGGTGGCACACTGTAGGCATCCACTGGGAATTCCCAACATTCCCCACCGTGGGAGAATCTGAGGTCATCCCGGTGGGGGGAGAGACCAGTGACATCACTTAGTTCTTTATAAAAGAAAATTTTTTTAACGTTTGTTTTTGAGAAGCAGAAACAGAGTGTGAGCCGGGGAGGAGCAGAGAGAGAGGGAGACCCAGAATCCAAAGCAGGCTCCAGGCTCCGAGCTGTCAGCACAGAGCCCGACGCGGGGCTCAAACCCACAAACCATGAGATTATGACCTGAGCCGAAGTTGGATGCTTAACCGACTAAGCCACCCAGGCGCCCCAGTGTCACTTAGTTCTTACTCTTATCCACTGGACCCACGTGTAGTTGAAGACAACTGAGGTTTAGTTAATATAAATAATTCTTGAAGCAGTTTGCTTTTCTATTCTAGGTGTTCACTCACCTGCATTTCCTCTTCTGTGACACCGGCCGCCTCATCCCCGATTCACGTAGATATGTGTGGTCAGGCTTTGGATGCTGCACAGTCTCCCAGGAGTTACTGTGGTATTTGGTTGTACCTGAGATGTCATAAGTGTCCCGCCATCCACTGCCGCATTGATGACGCACTGTGTGGCTCTGAGAGGGTCTTCCAATGGGATTCAGGGTGAGCCAGGGTGCCCAGACCCTGTGAGCCTGCACGTGATGACAGCCTCATGTATTTTACCAAACTTCCGAAAATACTGTGATCATATAAAAACTCCTGGGGCTGCTAGATGCTGAGACAGATCTACAGCACAGATGAGGCGTTTTGTTTTTTGTTTTGTTTTGTATAGCTGGTTCACTAGCCAAGTGTTTGCAATTTTCTAGTATTTTCTGTTTTCTCTCATCGTGCTTCTGTTTTTTCTTATTCTTTATCCTTTGCAGTTCTTCCTGGGAGAGTGATTTATAAACTGCTGGGCCTTCTGGGTATGGCTTTCGACGGTGGAGCAAAGCCCATTGTCATCAGTGCAAAGTCAAGGACAAGGGAGTCTGGAAATCTGGTAGCCACAGGTGTACCAGGAGGAACATGATACCATCTGTCCCCAGGGCTGCATGCAACGAGGCCATTCCGTAGGGTGTCCTTCATGGCAGGACTGTGAAACATCATCTTGCTTATTAAACACCAGCAGAGATTTCTAATAATTCAAGAGCCCAGGAAGTCCAGTACTGAGAACTAAGTTGTGGGACTTCACAGACCCACCTGCATGGCCCTGCTTTGTCCTTCCGTGGCTCCATACACTGCTGCCCTCTGTGGAGGCTGTGGAGTGAGTGTCCAGGAAGCTTCGGAATGGCCCGAGGGCCTCAACCAGAGGAGACACGCACTTGGCTCTCAATGGGCTTGGCGACAGCCAGATAGGCCAGCATCGTGCATTGGGGTAAGATCTCATTTCTCTATTATCATTGTTGTTTTATGGCTACGATGTTGTGGTCTTATTTGAAAAGTCATTGCCTGATCCAAGTTCAGGAAGACATCTATGGTTTCTTTTTGAAGTCTTATGTTTACTGCCTGCATTTAGATCCATGATCCATTTCAAGGCAATTCTTGTGAATGGTGTGAAGTAAATATCGAGAGTTATTTCCATCCATATGCTTATCCATTCTTTTGCTGCAGAATCGGTTGAAAAGACAGTCTTTGCCCCATTGAGTCACTTTGGTATTTCTGACAAAAATCTGTAGATTATATGCATGTAAGACATTTTTGGACTTTTTATTTGATTCCATCTTATATATGGCTGCCTTTACAGAAATACGGCTTTGTCTTGTTGACTGTGGATACATAGTAAGTCTTAAAATCAACAAATGTCAGTCCCCCAACTCTCCCCTTCTTTTTCAAAATTGTTTAGGCCATTCTAGTTCCATTGCATTTTCATTTCCACTCTGTAATTAGTTTGACTATTTCTGTTCAACAAAGTCCTAGAAGGTTTTGATTAGGATTATTCATATTAATTTGGGGAGAATTAACTTCTTAGCAATATTGAGTCCTTCATTTCATGAATGTGGTCAATCTAATTTATTTAGGTCGTCTATGATTTCAGTAACATTTTGTAACTTTTACTGTACCAGAAATGCACATCTTTTGGTGATCTTATTGAAATAATTTTTGAGTGGTATTATGTTTAAATTTTAGTTTTCAATTGCTCATTGGTAATACATAGAAGTGTCCATGTGTCCTACAGACTTGCTGAGCTCACCTGTTGTCAATAGTTGATAATTTGTGGATTCTTTAGGATTTTCTAATCTCACTCTCTCTCTGTTTCTCTTCTCTCTCTTTCTTTCCCTCTCTCCGGCTCTCTCTCCATCTCTCTGTTTCTCTGTCTCTCTCTCTTACACACACATACACAGCACTTTCAGTAAAATCCCGAATAAAAGTGTGGAGGGTGGACACCTTGTCTGTTTCCAATCCTGGAAAGCATTCAGTCTTTCATATTAGGAATGCTGCTAGCTGCGTCTTTTTGTGGGGAAACGGTCCTTATGTCATAAATGTTACACCAGATGTTTCCAGAGAGCGGGCCTCAGACCAGCAGTATCAGCAGCACCTCGGAACTTGTTCTAAACCCCAATTCTTGAGGCCCCGTCACACTGAAGCAGAAACCCAGGGGCCAAGACCTCGCACTCTCCATTTTAACAAGCTGTCCAGAAAATGTTCCTATATTCTGAAGTTTGAAAGTTTTACTTCAAATTCTTTATTGCTTTCTATTTTTTTCCTTCCTTCTTCCTTTTGCTCACAACTTGCAGTGTATTTGGCAGCTATTTGGCCACATGTCTGAGGATGGATCTATCTGTATGTTCAACACGGGACTCTGACGTTTGTTTAGACGTCGTGATATTCCCAGAAAGCCTGATGAGAGTCTGACATGAGAGTTCCTCCTCTTTATGGCAGAAAGGGGCCCTGCCTGACCTAGCTCCCCAAAAGGATGCTCTGCTAAGCGAGGTGAATGAAGAGCCAGACAAACAGGGGGCAGACAGTATAACGTGAGTTTTTGCCCCAGGCCCTTCCATTAACCTTTAAGTAAAGCCACCTCTTTTCAAGGTGGCTATTTGATCTCACACTGTCATGGAAACATCATCATAATGAATTTGCTGATCCTTTCATATTTTACAGGCAAAACTTCACAACCTCAGGAAAACAGGATAACTTGAGGACAGTTACAAAGAGAAACTTTTTTGGCCCCTTGAGATGTGTGATGCCAGCTCGATTCCCTTCAACAGCACGGGGCGGGGTGAGTGACAAACAGTAGCACAGAATAGCACGTAGAGATGTGACCTGACTGCTCTTCGTTTCCATACCTCTTTCTTTCTACCCTGAATTAGCCTGACTTTGCACTAAAGACAAGCAAATCAGATGAAAGGAAACTTTCTGCTTTGACATATGAAAAACAAAAATACAACACCTACCCACACATCCAACTCTTCAAAAGAAAATACAGAGACAAGTTGCTAGAAGACAAATCATTTCTCCAAGTGTATTCTCAGAGCCAGAGTTCAGAAACGGTGGAAGTTTCTGAACTCTAGCAATGCTTTTCAGAAGGGACAGAAATCACTCTTAAAGGGGTGATGCTTTTATTCTCAGATTCTGGGCTCTTGCCCCTTCCGTAAAACTGTGGCTCGGACATGTCTACACAATACAGTATGGGCTCCATCACGTACCTTCTGAAACTCATCAAATGTTGCCCCAACCTCTTCCCTGGTCTCATCTCCTCTTTCTTAACATCATCCTTAAACATCATCACCTTGTAAATATGTACATTCAATTATTTTACCATGACTACCTGCTGTATGTCACAGGCTGGAAGCTGCAAAACTCTAAAGAAAAATGCTCTTCTAACGGAATGTTCGTTGAGGTCATAGATTATTTAGGACCACACAGGCAGTCACCTACTTGGTCCACTCATAAGACTGGTCCTAGGAAAAATTCATCCCTGTGCCTAAATTGGGGCCAAATCAGAGCTAATGATATTCTCCAAACCAAACTATTCAAAGAACACACACAATAGAATTAATTTCTAGGAGTTGGACAAGCATGGATGAACATAGGAGTTGCATGAATAAAATAATTTTAAAATTTTTTTAATGTTTATTTGTTTTTGAGAGAGAGAGAGAGAGAAAGCATGAGCAGGGGAGGGGCAGAGAGGGAGGGAGACACAGAATCCGAAGCGGGCTCCAGCCTCAGCTAGCCGCCAGCACAGAGCCCGACGTGGGGCTCGAACCCATGAACCATGGTGAAGTCGTGGCAAAATCGGATGCCCAACCGACTGAGCCACCCAGGCGCCCCTGAATAAAATAATTATAAAAGCTTTTTTTTTTTAATGTGCCTCTGATACACAAGCCCACAAATTTATCCACATCCAAAAAGGAAAGTAGCCTTGGTTATTGTGAATTCTTTTGCCTCTGTTAAAAATAAGAAAGCACATAAATATTTAAGCAGCTTCCTTAATGATGTTGCTAATGTTCTCAGGCCTGGACTTCTCTTGGCAGTATACTTTGTGTACCTGCTAGCAACTTTGGTCCCCATTAGTAGCTAAATCCTTTCCAAGTAATTGCCAGAGAATAGAGTTCTCTTTTTTTTTTTTTTTTCGGTAGAATGCCAGCTTTTTCTGCCTGTTGCAAAGGTTTGGCTAAAAGTAATGCAAGTACAGCACAGGTGTAACATGTTGTGTCATTTTCCACAATTTTCCAGAAACCAGGCACAGCCGCTTTCTACCACTTTTCAGCAATCCAATTTCCAGGTTTGTGGAAAACCACACAGTTCCATTTGGACTCAGTAGCTATGGCCTGCTGCCCCAGGACATAGTAGAGTCATTATCTAAAATTAGAGGACTCTTATCTGGGAGTCTCCTGACAGCAAGAATTTTAAACTGTATTTATTCACATTTATCGAATACCTAACACGTGGAAGGAGCCAAATACACAGCAGATAGCAACGTGGTAGGGGCTCCTACATCAGAGGACAGGCAGGTGGGGAGGAGAGACCATGCCGAAGTCAGGGTGACAAAACAAGATGGTTACAGACCGAACACAGTGGGTGAAAGTGGCGAGCTGGGGGTGAGGCGGACAGTGGGGCGGGGTGTCAGAGGACAGCCCGCCCCCAGGAAGGGTGACACTCGAGCTGGACATAAAAGGCTAAGAAGGAGACATCCACGTACAATTGGAGATGAAGAGATTAGAATGACATTCCCTCAATGTAAACAGGTTACTCAAAACATGGAGTGTCCGGGAAGTTTTAAAGCACAGAATCCTTGCTCGGAAGAAAAGGAAGCCTTAACACATCACGTCCCATAACCTGGCTGAGCCGTGGTTCGCAGAGTGGAGGTCCTGAGTGGCACAGACCACGGGCTCTGTCGCCCCTCCCCCAGGTCCCCTGCCTCCCAGCCTTCCGCTGCTGGGACTGGTGACCCCGGGCCACTTAGCACTGGGGAACTTTGTGCTCTACACGCATCTATCTCACTGTGGCAGAAGGACTGAGTCTCTCCTTACCTCTTGTTCTCTGGCCTCACATATTCTCACGTCTGTGTGTTCGCTGGTGAGGTATGTCAGTGACAGATCTCTCAGAGACAAACTTCTCCTGAGTAAAGTCCAGCAGAAGCACATTTCCCCTGTGCTTCTCTTCCTCTGCCCTTCCCTACTGTCTCTCCTGCAACTCTCTCCCGGCCCTGATGGGCTCAAGGAAAAGCAACGGGAAAGGTGCTGCTTGATGAAAAGGAATGAATCGGTAAGAGTGAAATTCCAGTGATAGGGCGTGTCCCAGCCCGCCTCTCCTCAATGATGTCATCTCAATAGTCTCCTACTTTCGCACCTCAGAGAAGAGGCTACTTTTATGTTACGTCTTCAGTAGTTTCTCTCAGGAAATCCCAGAGACCCGACTGAAACCTGCTGAGACCCAAGAGAGGGTTCTTGGGAGGAGAGATTGGAATCAACAGGTCCTCTCCTGAGCAGTGAGGTTCCTCGTTATGGCCACTAGAAACACTCTCCCATTGCCCAGGAGACCAGCGGCATGGGTTTAATGGCAAAATCAACACGACAGGAAACTCCCCAAACTGGAAAAATTAGATGTCCCCCAATAATAAAGTGAATAAAAATACTAGAGTATATGCATATTCATACAGAATATGAAACAATAAAAATAAAATAAATTTAAGCTATGTGTATCAACATGAGTGATTCCTGTACATGCAAATTCCTTTCTGGAAAACAAAAAAAAAGCAAGTGGAGTGCCTGGCCTGGTAGGCTCAGTCGGTAGAGCATGTGACCCTGATCTCAGGGTTGTGAGTTCAAGTCTCATGTTGTGCATGGAGCTTACTTAAAAGAAAAGACACTTTAAAAACAAGTGATATGTTTTCATCACATAGCATGAAATCATTTCAAAAGCTCCAAAACAACAAAGCAGATTGTTTGGGGAACACATATATATATTTAGTAAAACTGCAAAGAAAAACAAGGAAATTGCAAACACAAAATTTACATTAATGCTTCATTTTAAAAGAGAAAGAGAGGCCACAGAGACTCAAATGTTGTTCATTAGCTTTGTTAATAATACTCCTTTCCTTGGGTTCAGTGGTTTGTGCGTGGGCTTTCTATCATTTGTATCTCATAGTCCTTTAGATTTTATGAAATTTCAAAACGAATCCATAAACGATATGACTCTCAGCCTTATTGGCACTTTGTTCATTCCAATTAATGAAACATGCCGTGGCCAGATCCACAGTGGAATTTGGAGTCCATTGGGGAGGGTAATCTCTAGGACCTGATTCCAGTGAAAACTGGAAAATCCAGTGGTTTCCTCAGGAGGGTGATCTTTTCAGATCAGCATCAGGGGAGAAGAGAACTGATACCTGAACTCAGATCCATCCCTGGGAGCCCTGCTGAATTTCTGCTGAGTTCGTAGATGAGCTGTGATGTGCCTGCACACATCGCCTACAATCTCTTTCTTCCCAGATGAACCAGTCATCCATGAAGATGTTGAGTGTCCCCTTGGTGACGGGCTATGATGGGTCCAGACAGAAAGCAGGGAAGGTACAAAGTGGTGGTTAAGGGAGCAATCTTGGTTGCCAGCTCAGCTCTTCTAGATCTTTCCTCCATCATCCACATCTTCCTCTCACCAATCTGCAGACACTTCACCTTTCTGGCCAAAGACTTTGCTCAACCCACTGCCTTGGCTGAAATTCTCTTCTCCCCTCTGGAGTCAGGCCATGTCCAGCCCCCTGGCAAGGTCCCCTTCTAGCCAGTAACTCAATCAGTCAGTCAGCAATCAAACAGCCTGGCTGCAAATGCAAAATACTCAGAATCTACTGCCTCAATTAGACTTAGATGAATTTAATATGCATTGATCTCATCACTGTGTATGCAGTTAGTCTAACATTTAATATGCGTATATGTCTTGTCTTAACATATTCTAATGCGGTCGTCACCAAATATCATTCACTGTTGGCTCAATTTCAGTTTAATGGGGACAATTGACCAACAAGTCCAGATCCAATTTTATGTGGGAAGAAACATAAAGACCATGGTAAGCCACCATACCTGAGTATCTCCATGGATTATTTACCATTCGCAGTATGGGGATGGTGATTAATATTTGAGTTATAATATGGAAGTACTTAGAGCCTATTTATTGTAAAATCCCAGGCACAAATATTGTTGACACAGATATTCATCTCTATTCATTTTACATTAGGCAAACACTATTAAAAAATGGAACTGATAAATATGTAAGCTAATAGGAATTTGTAACCCAAAAGCAAAAATAATAGCAATTGAACATCGTAATTAACTCTACATTGACGTTGCAATAATTACAAAGTCCTTCCTGAAAAGAGAGAAATGTAACTATCCGTAGGTGTATTTGCTTTCTAGAAGCTTAACAAACAGTTCTAGACCTTTCATGGCAACCCCTCTTCTTCATATAAAACTGAGTAAGGGTACTGGGGGGCTCTGCCATTGTGCTCATTTTTATTTATGAATGTTAATTTTCATAACCCTTAATAACTCACTGTTTAGGTAACATGTAAAAGGTTTTAGTCATATATAAAAAGAAGTGTCTAGAATTGCACCTGCTTTACTGGTATTCTAGATGATATTTGCATCATTTTGCAAAACATCTAGGCCCATCACAGCAGCCAGGGATCGGGCTGCAAATCCCTGCTCTCACTCTGTGTGTGATCTCGCCAGTGTGATGTCTGCTTCTGTGATGTTGGTTTTGTTGGGTCCCCAGTGATTGAGTTGAGTCCCAACACCCGAGGCTGATTATAACAAGGACCAAGGTTGGATTGCAGCTGCACAACTTAGGAGTTAGGTGACCTTGGACAGGCCACTGAAACTTTTTGGGCTTCAGTTTACTGACCTATAAAAGCAGAACGATATCTCACGGGATGGTTGTGAGAATTATCGGCACTCGGGGTGTGGAACCAGGCTCTGGTTTGAAGAACTATGCCAACACAGCCTCTGACCTTGTGAACAAGAAGATTAGTGGGAAAGATAATAGGATGTGTCATGAGGTGGTCTGGCTCAGGTGACCCTCTACTCTGTCCCCATCACAAAAGGCTGACCTGGATCTGACCAGAGGTGACATCTCCTTTCTCAATATCTCTTCTTCCTTCCTGAAGGTATTTCCCTGCCCCCAAAGCACCTCTGGACCCCCCAGAATCAAGCAGTAGCCTGGTTTGGCAATCTCTGACAAAGTTGTGCACTGAAAAACTCTGGAGTATTACTCACTGCCGGGGTTACATTTTATTTTATTGGCTGATTTTTTTGTTTGTTTGTTTTTCCCTATGTTATTTTTTATTCAGTTTATATTTTAATTCCAGTATAGTTAACACGGTGTTATGTTAGTTTCAGGTGTTCAGTATAGTGATTCAACTATTCTGTACTCGGTACCCATCATGAACTCTTTAAGCCCCATCACCTGTTAACCCACCCCCACCCCCTCCCCTCTGGTGACCCCCAGTGTGTTTTCTGTAGTTAAGAGTCTGTTTCTTGGTTTGTCTCTTTTTTTCCTTTGCTGGTTTGCTTTGTTTCTTAAACTCATCATTT